ATATGTATGGCTCCGGGTGTGCTGAGAAATGTTGAGCAGAAGGGTGGGCGGAAAGGATAACACACAAAATGTATTCCAAAATCCATTTGAATCGAATAAAGCCGACGAGAACAGTTTACACAAAATAGTGGGTATATTTGTTTAGTTTGTTGGCCAAATGGAAACGCTTTGAAAGTGGCCAACGCTAATGAAAGGCGGCGCCTAGGGGCTCCGCTCCGGCTGTTGTGTGTCCGACGCATAAATCTTCATGAAAAGCAAAATTGAATATTGCTCCACAGCACTCGACACTCCACGCTCCACTCTGCGTTTTGTTTGTTCTGTTTCGAGCAATAAATACCAAATTGGAATCATAAATCTGGCAATCGCTGAAAAGTATGCAAAGCCGTTTTAATTTCTAAATGCAATTAAAATGCCAAAAGATGCATGAGCTGACTCTTGTGGCAGCTAAAAGTGGCCCAGGCCCTTGTGCTTTTACTGCTGCTGTTGTTTTAGCGTTTAATCAAATGCAGCTGATGCCTCGCCAAGTGGCCAAATCCTGTTAGCGCCTTCCTTGGCCCTCAATTTGGGTGTGGCGCCTCGAAATCAAATTGCAATGCATGCACCTCTGCCATGCCCTGATGCCCTGTTGCCCTGCTGTGGCACCTCCTGCTGCATCCGTGTCACTAATGACATTTGAATGACACTTACACCCCGCTCCGCTCCCTGCCCACCAGAAATCTGCTGTGGCTGTGGCTATGCAGCATCGCCCAGTCAGTCAACCAAAAGGTGGCTAATGACCCGAACCCAAACTGGAGTTGGCTTCCTCTCTCTTTCTGCTTCTCTGCTCTGATGACGCGATGCCGGCGGCGCCTCCTCCAGTGCCAGATAGATAAGCGATTTATGCTTTTTCCTAACTTTACTTGGGACAAGCTGCTTGGGAACGTGTTCTATCTTCAAATTGGTCTCTCGGGTCTCTTTTTCAACACAAACTACAACGAGAGGGAATTTACAGACACAATATTCCGAAAATAGTCCCCTAATTTGGTGGGTAAATCGATGCAGGATACGTTGAACTCCCTCAAGGGTTTCTACACTGAATATTTCCGAATTTTCTAGCCAGCATTTCCGAGCCACACCGGTTATAGACCTTCCGCATCTCTCTTGCACATTTTTTCGCGTGGGTTTCTCCGTGCAAATATATACTCAGTATTTGCTGGATTTATGCCAAAGCAAAAGACAGCAGCCAGCCAGCCACTCTCAGCCTGATGTGTCCGGGCCTGACTGTACACCGTCTCAATCCACAATCCTCTGCTGTCGTGGCCCTAATATTGTTGCAAGGTGTAAAACGCAAAGTAATGGCTTTGAATATGCCTGCTAAGGAGATGCCAGAAGACAGTCCAGGCCAGGCAGGCAGACAGACAGGCAAAGAGCTGGCCTCGACTGCTAAGTGCCCTATGGATGGAGTACACTAAGTCGAGTGGCATTAAATGGTGTAGAAGGTATCCATAAACCTCAAGCCACTCTCTGAACAATTAGGGCAAAATGTAATCCCCCTAATTGGCTTCCAATATGAAGAGTATATAATCTTCGTTTACATTTTCAATTTATCTGGCATGGCTGGATGGCTGATGGCTGATGGGTGGTCTGTCTTGGGGGGACAGACTTTTGTCTGGCACTCAAGTGAAAAGCTTTTGTCGGCGCATGGAAATTTGACGGAAATTGTTTGGTCTGATGGATGCTGCAGATGCAGATTAAGATCCCAGCAAGAGAGTGGGTATAGCTGCTGCTGCACGGTTGCTGTTGCCACTATTTCAGCAGCGGCATCCTTGTGTCTCCTGCTGTGGTTGTCTTGTACCTTCGCCTAATGGTCTCTCTTGGTTGTGTCAATCCTTCAGCTAAGTAAACGAACACTTTTTAGCATTATGGTCAGTAAAAGGCCATAAACTGACGACCAGCAAGCAGGACCTGGACCTGGACCTGGACCTGGGACCCACCACACAATGGCAATTTCAGTAGAATTTAAACTTAATTCTGCTTCATTGTGGAGGATGTTCTCGGTGGGATGAGGAGCAAGCACAGATTATGCCAAGCGAAATAAATGCAAATCGCATTAGAATAAATTGTACTGCCTGGCATCCCACTTGTCCTGCCGCTCGTCCTGTTTTTTTTTTAGGTTCCGTCCTAGTTCTAGACCGAGACTGTGACTGCAGGATAATGTCCTTAAAATGACCAGCCATGCGAAATCCTTCAGCTGAGAAACTTTGGCGACAGGTTAAGTCCAGATACAGCCAACATGAAGTGGAGTTCCCGGGCAGGGGCGCCCCTCTGTAAGGTTCAAGGAGCAATTGCCGCCCTAGAGAGCACAATCAGAATCAACGTTGAACGTTGAAGGATGAACTTTTTAATGCATAATTTATTGTGGGCCAAGGTGCTTCTGCTAGTGGGTTAAGGCAACATTGTTTTTACATACATTTTACACATTTTTTGTGCTATATTTTGTTGATTTTACGCGTTATTTTTGCATGCGCAACGCGAAAAAAATCAGTTAGAACAATAAAAGAGAAGCGAAAAAGAAAGAAAGAGAGCGAGATAGAGAGGAGTCCAGATCTTGCTGTGACAAGCATAAATATTTATGAAGCATGCCACCCCGCAGCACGAACTCGGGCCAAGCACGTACCCCGTACGCGGTGGCACACCTCAATACCTCCAAAGCGGCTGGAGTGGCATTGCGTTGGTTGGAGGTGGTGGCCAGGAGGTCCATCGTGCATGGCCTGCCATTTACGAAATTTATTTGGTTTCATCAAAAACTCATCTTAAATGCCAGCACACATGCGGCACATAAATATCGAGGCGAAATATTTCTTTTCAATTGATTTGCGGCGCCAGAGGTGGGGGAAAAGGAAGCTACTACTCAAATGTATCTAAATTGAATGGGAAAATATAGGCAGGGCAGGCACAGCATTGTTTATAGGGAGTGGCTAAAGATAATCACAAGAAAAAGTAGAAAACTTCCCTAGAATCAGAAGCCTCCTTCCTATCTTCATCCTATCTTCAGCTAAATAATTTCATCAGAATTAATTATAAGAAGCACTGCCAATTGTCATCTTTTTTTTTAAGGCTTTACTTTATCCTAAAACTGCCAACTTCATGTTGAAACTTCCTTTACTCCAACTGTGTCCAAAGTGTCCAAACCTTTTTTTTTGTTTATTTTTCTTCACTGCCAAAAAAAAAAGAACAAACAAAAAACTGTTCCATTGCTTCAACGCTTGATTTGCTTTGCGTGTTTGGCTGCCACAAAATTCCCGGCTGCTCACAACTATCAATTAAACTAATTAGCTAGATTTCCCCGGCACCAAAATCGAGAACAGAAAACCCCAAAAAAAAAACTAGCAAAACTGGAACACGCCCCAAACTTTCGCCTTGGCTGAAAAATTCAATCAGCGCGTGCAGAAAAACGCAATCAAATGATTAAGTCAACAAATGAAGGCAAATTGCTGGGGCCGCAGCAGCTGATGCGACCACCATCGACTCTGCCGCAGGACTCCTGCTGCCTGCTTCTGCTCCTGCTTCTGTTTGCGGATATTTTGGATGCACCGCAGAAGGCAAAAAGTCACCCCGTCCGATGAGGATGATGTTCCATTGGAGGTCTTCCTTTCGTAAACTTTTGGGCCAACTTCTCCTCAGGGGTCTCATTTTTTTCTAGCTTTTTTTTACTGTCTGTGTGCCCCGCCCCACAGAGAACTTAAAGCAGGTGAAAGGCAGCAGCAGCAGAAGGAGCAGCAGGAGCACGGGAAAAAGTTTCCTTGGACCTAATGAGTGCGGTGGCAGCTTCATTGATTAGTTGGTGGCTTTTTCACTCTGGCCACCTATCGACGTGGACCATCTTTTCCTGTGGGCCAACATATTTTTGCCATTTTTATGGAACAGTTTTTACTACTTTTCTGCTGGTTCCTGGCGCGGTGGAGTCTGCCGTGGTGGTCCACATTCAAATTCAATTGACTGTGTGGCATCTATAGACGGGGCGTGGCACGTGCCACAAACACACACACACACACAGTGATACCAATATGAGTAGTGGATGTACGTATGGATACTTCTATGATATTTATTCCACTCTTCTCCCTTTTTTCGGTGCGATTGCCTGGCAGGAAATTTATTTATATTCAATTTGTGAATTTATGCCACTTTTTTTCACAGCAATCGAAGCACATGGAGGCGCCTCAGCGACAATGCCAGGAGGGTCGTGAGCGGGAAATTCAGTTTGCTGCAGTTGCATGAACGTGAAAAAAGGATGCAGCAGGCGGCAGTGTAAAAAGTGCACTGAGAAAAGGCAGAGCTGGGAAGGGGAGTTATGTGAGGAAAGTGAAAGAAAGTTCAGAATATTTACAATGCTGCTGTGAAACTAACTCTAACTCCTTGTATAGGGAATATTTGACTGGAGTAAAGATGAATCAATGGCAGAGTGCAAAATGGAAAAGTAAACATGAAATTTCCAGTGGGTTTCCCATAGGAAGATTATGTCTTAAGTACATTAAATACAATCGAAACTTTTATTTAAGAAGATATTCACTTGAATCACTATATTTTTACACCGAATTAATTCCCATTTTAGTACTTATTTGTGTACATATTTACATACATTTGTTTGCATATGAAAATCCTCAATGCTCACTCGGATATTTCTGCGAGTGTGTGCCTGTCTTTCTTTGCAACTTCTTCTTTCTGTGGAAGAGCAAACTGTCTGCTGTGTTTTCCATTTGTGGCTGATGTGCGTCGTGTCGCTGCCTGACGATGTGAACATTTTCCGCAAAAATCATAAACACCGTCGTTTAACCGTCGCCTTCGCGTTGATTAGGTAATCTGAAGGACTAGCCACATAGTAGATATGGCCTGGCGGGTACAGTCAGACCCATAAGAAACCCACAAAGGGATGGGTGGGTGGTACATCTACCTAAGGTTAGGTAGAGCTGGCCATCGAGCAGCAGCATATAAACCCCGTGGCAGATCCAAGATCCCTCATTCAGTCGTCATCTGTCAGCAGTGATTGTCAGCCATCCGTATACGTAGAACCAGGAAAGTCGTTTGTGTGTGTGTGAGTTGTGTCTGTGATAGCTATAGACCCAGTGCCCAAGTGCCAAGGATGTTGTTCCTAGCGCCGCGCAAACATCTGTTTGCCACCAACCTGATCATCCTGCTGATGATCTATGTGATGCGCAAGTGTCTGCAGCTCTTTTGCATTATCGAGAATCGCACCGCAACTTGCCCCAAGCCGGACTGTGAATGCGAGCAGAAGAAGGACAAGGAGGAGCAGCTGGCGGAGGATTCCCCACTGATGGAGCGACGTGGCGGCTTCAAGCTCATACCCGATGCCATGCACAAGAGCATGCACGGCTTTGGCTATGGCGAGGGTCACTACCAGATCTTCGTGGAGAAGAAGGAGCGCAATTTGCCCACACACTCGCGCCTCAATGCGGCCACAGCTGAAGTTAAGCTGAATCCCAATTAGAGGACGAAGCTCCCTAAAGCCTGGATCCCTAGGGAGATCCACTGACATCCACTTCTGACCCACAGTATGATGTCAGCACAATGAGCCAATTGTCAGCCACACAACAGAGTTCAGACAGCAATCACCCAGCATACAATATATAATCATAATCCCACCAACACACACACCTACACTCATTCGAATATATCCAAATGTCTTCTTTGATTAATCATTAATATATGCACCAGTTATATTTCTACATATTTTTTATAACCAAACAAAAGCGCACTTTTGGCCATTAATAAAAAATTCATGCAAAAAAAAAAAAAAAAACAAAGGAGAAACCAGAGAAAAGTGGAAAAATCTGTGCCCTGCAGGCACTGTGATTGATGTGGCGTTTGCTCAGCCTAGTTGTAGTCTGATCTGGGACTCCGCCACTTGGCGACAGTCGAGTCCAAGAGTCGTGTCCTCGAGTCGCCATGGCGCTGGCGGCGCCTGCTGCTGCTTGAAAAATTATCTTGAGCGCGGGTGGCTCTCTCTGATCGCGTGGGTGTAGCTGCAACATTAAATGGCATCGAATTTATCACAAAGTAGGGAAGAGAACTCACAGGCAGTGTCGAGCAGCAGCAACAGCAACGGCAACAATGTCAGGCAATATGCTCGAGTAATTTGCAAATACTCTCACACAAAAAGAGCAACTTCTGAGGGGGTATATGACTTTTTTGGGTGGCTTTAAATGTGAGGGGATGTTTGTGGGGAAATAGAAAAAACCAGAGTAAGAGATCGAGAATACTCATAATAAGCTTTTGGCCTTCCAGAATATAATTATTTAGGGATTTTTTAGAGATTGTTTAGAGATTTTTCAATACTTTCTTCACTCACATATAACAGACACTTCAGTGGGGTTTGCTATAACTTATATCTAGGTTAAAGATATGTTTTAACTGTGGTTTCAATCTAGGATACTCCTTCTACCAATGAATTTCTAGCCTGATTGAGCAAAAAGCTGAGCCTTAGCACTTTAAGAACTGCCAGAAAACAGAATAATCAGAGACGGGTTTATGTTGGTTGGGTTTTTATCTCTCACTCGAACACATCTTTTATCTTGCACGTCTTGTATCTATAAGTTCTGTTATCTTAGACAGCTTCTACCTATAATTTGTCTTACAACTTCCACCCATAGTTCAACTCTCTATCTGTAAGAGCATCTCCTCTTCGTTGTGTCATGCCCTGAGCACTAGCAGCAGCAGCCATTGTTCGGCATTGGCCAAGATAAGCAGGACAGCGAACTGGCTCAGCTTGAGCGCAGCAATTGTTCGCAAATCTATCATCATCATCTGCTCAAGCACGTGTCTGTAATGCGTGTGCTGCGCTCTCACTCTTACTCCTCCCACTCTCTTTATCTCTCTCTCTCTCTCTCTCTCTGTCGCTCACTTGTCTGTTCTTGTGTGGGTGTGTGCAACATTTTCTGCATCCCATTATAAATGAGTGGAATTTTTTAGTTGTAAGCTTGCATCATCACTTGAGCTGCATATAAATGATTGCCACCAAATCCGAGCCACCCACCCAATGCCCCCTGCTGGCTGCTATTCCTAACGAGTTCGTTGTCATTATAATCGTGATTGTTATGGCTGTAATTCTAATTCCATATCTCTATGCTTGCTCGCATGTATGGCTGCTGGCCGCAGGGAGTCGTATGGTACGTGCTGCTCCTCCTCCTCCTGTGCTCCTCTTCTTAGTGCTATTGCTGCTTCGGCAGCTGTTGATGTGTAAAAATGAAATGTCAGTCGGATAAGCGCCCAAAGGCAACATCCTGGCGCGCACACACACACTTACCATCAACATCCTGGCCATAATGAGGTACAGCAGGGCGTAGGCGATGGCCATGGCTTCCTCCTACTCTCTGCTCCTGTCATTTGCTGAACTAGTTTTTGCCCAGAATAGTGGAACGTTAAGCTCTCATGTAAATCATGACGCTATTGTTAGTGGATCTCTTCTCTGCTCTGCTCTCCTCTCTCTCTCTCTCTCCTGGCTGGACTCATTATAATTAACAATTTATAAAGCGTTAATCCACACACACACACAGAGAGACTCCTCCCCATTGACGGTAATTTGCCAAGGCAGCCAAAAGAGCATGTTCAGCAACAGCTTTGATGGGGGGAAAATCCAAGCCAAACAAACAAGTCAACAGAGTGGGGGGCAGGGAAGGAGGAGTTTGCTGCTGCTGGTGTGAGTAAGCAGCATCCATTCGGTTGTAAGCTGCTTTCATTGCTCCAGCTCCTGTTGCTGTTCCTGTTCCTGTTCCTTCCCGCTCCCCTGCTAACTGCCATGTCCCCCTCCTCATGCTGCTGCTACCGTAGCACGTCGCGTGCATTAAGAAGATGAGCTGCATTTTTCATGCATGTGAAGTTGAGATTGCAGCTGCTGCTTTTTACTCCTTTTACTCTCTTACTCTTTGTTCCACCATTCCCCATTTCATTTTTGGCCTGGCATTCACTTGCAGTTGCATTTTCAGTTGCCTTTTCCCCAGCCATTTCTTTCTTGCGTCTGCCACTTCCCATTGCGGCTGGCAGCTTCTTGTGTTGCCGCATCATCATCATCATCATCTGCCACATCGTCCCACCCAACCGCCTGCTCATCAGCGTCATTTGTATTAATTTCCCACGCATTTTGGCTCTGCGCAATGATACCAAAAATAGCAGGCGACTTTATTGTGGTTGCGGCAAAGTTTGCCCGCACGTGCTGCCACAAAAGTGCATTTTGTGTGTGTGTTAGAAATGCTAGAAAGTAGCTAAAAATTAATTACAAATATTTAGATTGAACGATATTTTCTGCAAGTATTTTCTACATAAAAAGTAACCCAATGGGCAACTCCAAATGCAATGTCTTGTTCCCTTTTTTATGCCCTTGCAATTTCCAACTTTCCGACAATTTTCGTTTAATTGTCGTGCTCGTCCCACTCCCAGCATCCACCCATATATATGGCATATACAATATTGTTCTTCAATTTTCCATTTGCCAAATTCTCAATGGTATCAGCATTTCCCATTCGAATTTTTTGTGTTTTTGCTGCAATCATCGTGCAATCTGCGAATGCATCAGCAAAAACAAATTGACAATTTTGCAGTTTGGCCAAACAGTTTGACAGCCACTGGCTCAATGCTAGTTAAACCGCATCGAAAACGACTTTTATGGACTTTCAATTAGTGGCTCAATCGAGAGAGAGAGAGAGAGAGAGAGAGAGAGACACACACAGAGAGAGAAATCAATTGAACTTTATTGAGTCTTTAATTGATGCCTGGAATGGCATTGCAACCAGGGGGAAATCGACTGAAACAATAGTAACAATTGCAGTGGAATTTCCACCGAATTTCACTCTGCACATTTTCCACTCCCGCAGCAGCGATGATAATTAGTAAACGAAACCATCCGCATGCCGCAGCCGCAGCCGTAGCCGCCTGTGTTTTAGTCAAGGGAATGACATGTAAATGGTTTACAAAATGACAGCAAATTGCCTTTCCTTCTACGCTGATTCATTTCTTCCTGTCTTCCTACCATGTCATCATTTCGTGCTCGACAATTGCTTGAGGCGTACGGCCCAAAAAACAAAGGAAAACCATTTTGAAAACCGTTCAGCACTGAATGAGAGGCAATTAAGCAGCGCTAATGAAGCGACTGACTGCCGCCCAAAATGCATTTTGCCCAAAGCAAACCAAACCAAAACTCTGCAGTTTGATATGCATTTAAACAGCAAACGAAAAACCCCCAACTGTGAGGGGGGAAGTGTGGTCAAAAAAATGAATATAAACTGCAGAATAAATTGTAATCAAATTGCCAAACGAGGCGAAAAACAGAAGAGAGAGAGAGAGAGAGAGAGGGAGAGCAGAGCAGTTCTCGCATAATAAATAATAAATAAATATTCGAATTTAAATCAACCGAAAATGAAGCAAAAATAAAAGCATAACGAAAAAGGGAATTGCGCAAACGAATATGAATATGAAAATGAAAATGAAATTATCAATGCCCAGTAAATACAATAAAATAAATATATGTCAATATAAAATAAATGTATTCCCATTGTGTGGGCGATATATTTCAGTGTGTGGTGCACACATACGTGCATGGTACATATACATTTTTGATATATATTTTTAAGCGGATTTCCAAGTCGACCACACACAAAAAAGATGCTACCGCCGCAAGGCAAACTATTTGGATTTTGGGACTTTTTGCACATAAATGAAATAAATTCAATTAAGTAAAACAATCAAATAAAAATCCATTAGAACTATATCAACTGCCAATTAAAAATTAAAAATTCAATTAAGTTGCACCAACTTTCTTTGCCAAAAGTCTGTAGAATATTCTGCGTAGAGTGCATTCCAGCCGCCCGGCGCCACATGCCTCACATGTCAGTCTGTCTGTCTGCTTCAGTACCCAGAATGTTTATTACAAGCCACTCAATAAACTATCGAAAGCCTATAAATTTTTAGCCCGGGCCAAACAATATAATCACATATGAGCAGGACACACACTTGGCTGGTTGGCAGCATGCAAAAAACTGCTGGGTGGGAAAACTTTCAATTCGTTTACGACTCGTTTGGGTTCATGCAAATGGATGTGGATGTGCATGTCGAATGTCGAATGTCGAGTCGAATGGCAAAGTCAAAAGCCGTGTGGATGCTCGCCGGCGACTGCTACTGCTGCTGCTGCTGCTGCCTTGGCCCCTGCCAAATGGGTCAAAGTGGCAGTCAGCCAGGCGGGGCAAAACGTTTGCCAGCAGAGAGCACACACTCGCACACACACACACACACACACACACACACTCTCAAGTATGCAACGCAACAAATTCAAAATCAAACACACACAACCCAGAAAAAAAAATGCAAGTAAATAAAGCGAAAATGTAAAGCGAAATGTGTGCGAGACTGCGTGGAGCCAAAGGCAAACAGTGGATAACCAAATGTTGGCTCAAAGAAACCAAAATACGCAGACGAAGGCAAGGGACTGCGATGCTAGGCTAAACATTTGTCCAGTGCCACGATTCCTGCTCCAATATCCTGGCGTTTTCTCCCGGCACGTACAGATCCGATTTTTGCACAATTTAAATAGAAAAATGTTGGGTGCGGAAATGCAGCACATATTTGCTGATAGCTGCACATGCCCCACAGTCATTCGCATCATTCGAAAGTGTTGGTCATGTTTCTTGTATTGCCTTATGTATTGCCTGAGCCATGTCTTTCCCTGGACTGTGCCTCTGTCCTTCTGGTGGAAAATGCTTAAATAATTTTAATTAATTTTCTGCG